CCAGTCACAGCACCGCGCTGGACCGTCTGCCCCGTCGCAGGCACAGCATCCCTATCGCTCATTAAGCCCTTCGCCCGCCGCCCCTCCCCGCGGCCCCCGCGCGCGGAGGGAATACGTTTTCCTCCCAAGTGTTTGTTTTCATTGTTGCCCTTTAAAAATAATGAGCTCATTCTATTCCCTGGCAAGGAGCGTTACCCTAGACCGCTTTGAAATCGTATATCTTTTGTCCAGCCCGTTTCGGCCGCGCTTCCACAGCTTTGTGAGCCGGGCAACCCAACCCGGCCGCGCCCGGAGCGCCCGTCGAGGCCGCCGCGGACTCCGTGCCTGGGCTCGCCCGGCCTGCCTGACCCTCACATTGTCCGCCGGCCGGGTAGAAGGCGTGCGGGTTTCAGGTGGTCCTCTCATGTGACCAGAGGTCAGAGGTCAGCAGCTCCTAAATGGGTGGCCCTCAACGTGGCCCATTCATCGCCCTCGTCATGGAACGGACGGGCCGACAGACGAACCCACCTCCCGGGCCTGCACCCTAGCCGAGGGCCAAGCGCTCTCACGCATTAAGTGGTTCCACCGGCCTGATGGGGGGGCGGGGGGAAGAGGGAGGGGGAGGAGGACTCCGGAGGCCTGTGCTGTGCGCCGGATCCTTTGCAGGAGCCGACCCCGAGCTGGTGTCCACCAAAATGGAGGTGCTGTCGGGAATCAGGTGCCACGTGATGTGGAACAGCTTCCCTTCTCACCGTCGGAATTGCCGTGTGTGTGGGGGGACAGCATGCCGGGGCAGTTTGTGGTCGCAAAGGCTGGACCTGTATCTTTTATTCCTGTGGACTCGAGAGCAGGGGTTCCCAGCCTCCTTTCCCACAGCTCCTCGTGTCGTGGTGGCCCCCAGCCAGAACACTGGTGTCGTTGCTGCTTCATAAATGCAGCGGTGAGTTTGCTCCTGTTAACGAATTGTCATGTAAATCGCTGTGTTTTCTGATGGTCTTAGGCGACCCTGCTAGCTAGCGGTTCTCAACCTGTGGATTGAGCCCACAGGCTGGTAACCGCTGCTGCTGATGATTACGTAAGAAAACATGTCAGCTGTCTGGCCGTCACAGTGGCCTTTGTAGAAATGTGAAGGGAAAGAGAACGTTTTTCTTCTTTCCCCCCCCTGACGTGGTTTGGAATCTCCCGAGGATCTAAATTGGCAGGAGGACAGGGCCCATCTCAGACCAAAGCCCTCCCCCCCCCCGGAAAGGGTGGGGCCAGGGGGGAAGGGCAGCCCGCCAGATGCCCAGGGTCTGGCCCAGCCCTGTCTCCCTCTTCCCAAGGACTGGCCGTGGGGGAGGCAGCCCTCAGCCTCCCGTCTCTCTCGGTGACGGTGAGAACCCAAGGACCCTGTGCGGCGCGCTGAGGCATTCGTCCTTTGCCTCAAACACTGCTCTCTCCCTTCCCATGAAAGAATTATCTCATAGGAGTTCATCCTTCTTGTCTCCTCGGCGGCCCCCGCTTGCTCACAGTTCTCTATCAAGGTCTAGCTCCTTTGTGTGTTTTTTTTTAAAGCTCACTTCCGCCCCCCCCTCCCGGACGCATCTCGTAGCGGGACCCATTGCTCCTGAAACCTTTCTCCACGGCCCCATCGGAGTGGTGGTGTGTTGCCTGCCCCCCTTTATTTGTGGCAACGTTTAGGGACAGGGAGGGAGACCGTGCGTGTTTTCTCAAAATCGGTGGCCAGCGCATTGCCATAAAACCTATTGATTAAAGACCGCGGAGCCCCGCCTTGGCCGCCCCGTCCGCAGAGCAATGCAGGGAGGGCCGGAGTTTCTGCCCTGGCCTCTGCATTAACCTCCTATCGACGGCCCGCACACCCCTCATTAACACTCACTCCAGCCAAAGCGGCTCACCCCGGCAGGCGGCCCGCCCTGGCCATCGGGTCTCAGTGTGGCCCTGGGGGCGGCCCCTGGGGTGACTCCTGTGCGGGGGAGGGGACCCTCGGGCTGTCTGCGCAGAGGCCGCCCATAGGACACTGTCAGCTGCTTCCCGTCACGTCATAAGGTCGATCCTTCAGGGAGAACCATTCCTAAGCAGCGAGAGTTTGCGGGGAGAGAGGGAGCGTGACACTTACCGAGTTCTTTGAATGGAAAGAGACAAGTCCGTATTGTTTTCCTTTTCCTCCTGAAAGGAACAGGGCTCCTGAGTAGATTCACATTTATTCGCTAACCAGGAGCATTCAGAAGAAGGTTTTCCTTTAAGATGGGAGGTGAGAGGACGAGGCCGAAAGGGGAGCCTGTACCTGGTTGCTGCTTAGCGGGTTTGCAAGGCTCTGCTCTCCTGGGGACCCCGGGGACAGTCCGTGCCTCTCTCTAGAAAGGTCCTCGCACCGGCTTCTGTCATGCCGAGGCCCGTGTGGAGGGCACCAGCACGTTCTCGTTTCCCGGGAACTGGTCCCAAGTAGGACACATTTGGACCCAAAGCCAAAGCCAGTGTTTCCTGCTTTCCCGCCCAGACGAGCTCCCTGTCAGCTTTCTGGCTTGGCCGGGGCCCCATCCGCATCCGCTGGGCGGGCGGGTGCAGAGGGGAAGCGTGGCCGGCCCTGCACGGCCCGTGGGCCGGGAGCGGGTGCACCGCGGCCGCCGCAGACTCTGCCGCAGGCTGGACCTCTCGCACACCGCCGCCCGGTGAGAGGGCAGAAGCCACGACAGGTGAGAAAGCACCTGCGGCCTGTCCGCAACCCTCCTGACGTTCCAGCTGGGCCCGCACTCATCACAGCCGGCTGACTGCCCACCGGGCTAATGTGTGCGCAGCCTTGTCCTGCTGCGGGGTGGGGTGCGCCTTTTGGAGTGACTTCCTACCCAGCTTCCCTCTCTGGTTGGCATCACTGAGCACCCCTCTCTGACTGAGCATCACTGAGCACCCCTCTCTGACTGAGCATCACTGAGCACCCCTCTCTGACTGAGCATCACTGAGCACCCCTCTCTGAGCATCACTGAGCACCCCTCTCTGACTGAGCATCACTGAGCACCCCTCTCTGAGCATCACTGAGCACCCCTCTCTGACTGAGCATCTCTGAGCACCCCTCTCTGAGCAACACTGAGCACCCCCTCTGACTGAGCATCACTGAGCACCCCTCTCTGAGCATCACTGAGCACCCCCCTCTGACTGAGAATCTCTGAGCACCCCTCTCTGACTGAGCATCACTGAGCACCCCTCTCTGACTGAGAATCTCTGAGCACCCTCTCTGAGCATCACTGAGCACCCTCTCTGACTGAACATCCCTGAGCACCCCTCTCTGAGCATCACTGAGCACCCCTCTCTGGTTGGCATCACTGAACACTTCTCTCTGAGCATCACTGAGCACCCACCCCTCTCTGAGATCACTGAGCACCCTCTCTGGTTGGCATCACTGAGCACCCTCTCTGAGCATCACTGAGCGCCCCTCTCTGACTGAGCATCATTGCACATCCCTCTCTGGTTCCCAGGCAGTAAAGAAAGCACCGTTTACACAGCTCTGCCGAGCTCCTCTGTAATTAATCTCGGCTCCCCTCGAGTATTAATTTCCTCCCATCGCTTTCATGTGCCTCAGAGACCGTCTCCGGCCCCGGGGAGGGGCGCCCCGGGGCCCACGGCGGCGAGTGTCCCCGTCTCCCTCACCCGCTCCCCCGAAGGCGTCCGCAGAACGCACCCTCGGGTCCCGGGTGCCGTGCGGGGCTTATCGCTGCAAACAGTTTAATATTTATGCTAAGAGGATTGTCGGACGCAGCTTCTGTTGCTCTAATTCTCGCTTTAAATAAATAATGAGAACATTTACACACGCGACTCTTCCCGGGGCCCCGAGGTCAGCTAATCTTATTATTTATGAAGTGATGTGCTACATAATAGTACTTAGCGCGTGTTAACAGACGCCATTATCAGGGGCGCGGGGCGCGGAGATATATGGGGGCGGTGTCAGAGCGGGGACGGAGTGCCCGCCCGCCGGCCCGCCATTAGGCACCGGGAAGGAGGGGTCCCGCTGAAGTGTGCTTTCCTGGTAATTCCCCGGAGAAGGCGATGTCCGGAGCCACACCAGCCAGGGTGAAAATTGTTTATTCTTGCTTACAGTTTGCTTTTCCCTCTGTCTGGTCCTCTGTCCTCTCCCAGATAACCAGAGCTAAAGCCACGCGGGTGTGGCCAGACCCACATCACATCCGCGGGCCCGCTGACGACCACGGGGTGGCGCGGCCGCTGCCCCGACCGACCGACGCCTTCCTCCGAGGCGGGGCCGGAGTGGCCCACGCTAATTAATTCCTCGCCATTGACGAGGCATCCACTCCATAAAAACCGTGATTTAAGTGTCCTCCTTGGGGAGTGACCGCTGCTCGCCTCTTAATTTAATTTGGTGGCTCCTTCACGTCCTCATCAGCAGAAATGAGTATTAACTTCTATTTGCATAGCTCCCCGCCGGCCCGGCTCTCCCTGGCCTGCCTCCTCGGGCACCGGGCCCGGGCGGGATGCCTGTGGGTCCCAGGGACCTCCAGAGTCAGTCCCGACCTGTCCTGTCCTTTAATCCAGCTTCCGGGCAGTCGGTTCCATTCAGTCTCGCCCCCCAGTGATCTGGTAAGACGTGGAATCCCACCGCCATTCAGATCTGATCATGGCTCCCTCACACCCTTCCCAGCACAGCGGGCGGAGCTCACGGGGAAGGAATTCGCCAGCTTTCCCCCGGCCATTGCTTCACTGGAGCCGCTGGGGAATTGCCGAAATCTGGGAACGGGAACAAAAAGAAAAGTTCCGCCGAAACTGGTTAGAGCATCGGCTTGGGGACTGAAAGGTCCCGGGTTCCAGTTCCATTCCGGTCGAGGGCATGTACCTTGGTTTTGGGTACATTCTCTCTCATCGATGTTTCTGACTCTCTATCTCTCTCCCTTCCTCTCTGTACAAAATCAGTAAAACATATTTTTAAAAAAAGGAAAGTTCCAGCACCATAAAGACGGATCCTCCCTTCCCATCACCACCTGCTCACGCGGCTGACCTGCCTGTTCTCCCTCTTGCAGGTGCCAGTCCCGGGCCGCCCGCTCTCTGCCCGCCGACCAGCAGCCGGAGTGCCGGCCGTACTGGGAGAAGGAGGACCCCTCTATGCCCCTGCCCTTCGACCTCACGGACATCGTCTCGGAGCTCAGAGGCCTGCTCCTGGAGGCCAGCCCCTAGGCGGCCTGTGTGCCGGGGGCGGGGCGGGGGGGGGAGGCCGTCGTGGCTCCTCCTCTCCATTCCTCTCCATCCCCGTGGCCTTTAGATGGTAGAACCCGGGTCCCAGCGGGAGTGGGGCCCTGGGGTGTGACAGTTTGGACGTGGCCCAGTGTGATCATCCCGTTTGATACTAAAACAGGACCTTTCCCTCCCCCCTCCCCCGCATTGTCCCCACCTGGATTTTCACGTGAGCCGCCCGGCTCCGAGGCCACGGGAGGTGAGCAGGGCCCGGCCTCCTTCCTTCGTTCCTCACCGCCCGCTCAGAGGCTGTGGGGCCCGGGGTGGCAGCCGCCAGCACGCGTGGCTCCTTACATTTCAAGTTGAGTTCGTGGCAACGAAGCATTCAGTTCCCTGCGGGCGGGAGCCACGTGGCGGGTGGTGAGTGGCCGCGTGCGGCTGCCGACGGCTGCCCTGGCCGGTGCCCAGAGCATCTCCATCCAGGAGGGAGGCCCTGGGGACACCCAACAACCCCCCTTCCCCTCCCGCAGCCCCGTCCCCACAGCCGCAGTGAACTCGGGGAGTCGCCTCTCTCTCCTCCAAGAAATGCCTGGGAGAGGCATCCGGGACTCCGCACCAGGGACAGGGGCGCTGGCCATTCAGAGCAAGCCGCCCTGGTCCCATGAGAGAGACACGGCCCCATTCACAGCGCTGCGTGGCCTGAGCCAGCGTAGCTTTGTCCGTCTTTTCTCGGATCCCTCCCCCCGTTCACCCCCCCCCTCCCCCCGTTTGGGCACAATGACGGGCGGGGTTGATGGCATCGGAGCCTTAGAGAGACGAGGTTGAAACCTGGGCCCCGATCACAGCTCCCTCCCTGAGCCTGGTGAGCTCGGGCCCGTTGCTGGGCCTCAGTCTCCTCACCTGTCTGATGGGGACACTGAAGGCACCCGCTCCCCGGGGGAAAGAGACGTGTTCCCCTCCCGCCCTCACTCCTTGCACCGGGCATGTCTGGTGATGCCCAGACATGCCTGCTGCCCTTTGTGACCCCCTAGACATGGCGAGACCAGCTCGCCCTCCCCTGGCCGTTGATCCTCTGGGAACTGAGCGCGGTATCGGAAGGGAGGAGCGTTGGCCCATCAGAGGCGCTAGGCCCAGCCTCCTGCCGTGCGTTCATTCCCGGAGACACAGTCACGCAGGCAGAGCGGCCAGGGTTTCCCCTGCGGAGCCTGGTGTCTCTGACCTTGGGTGACCCCAGGTGTCGGGGAGCAGGGCCTGGCACAGAGGGGTCGCCCCCCCTCCCCCGGTGCCCGTCCTCTGTTCCGTGTCACGAGGGCCGATGTCTGAAAACCTGGGAGATTCCCTGTACAATAAAGCGAGTGCTGTCTCTTTAGGGTCCGGGAGATCTGGCAGCCCCGGGCTCAGCAGGGAGCCGAGTGTTTTCCGGCTCCGAGGCGGGCCTGAGCCCTCCCTGTGCCCCCGCGAATCCCGGCCTCATGCTTTGTAAACCTGATTCGCCCCTCCTCCCCTCAGGTCCCTGCCCCCACACCTGCTTGCTTGCACCCCCGTAGGATAAATAAATGTTGAGCGCTTCCCCCTGGGCTCTCTGTACCAATATGTTGTGTAAAATGCCAGCGGGAGGAGGGAAGGGACCAGGAAGGGCCCAGGAGGCCCCTCCTGCGCGCAAGTGGGATGGCCGGTGTCCGCGGCCGGGTGGGGCCAGGTGCAGCCACTTCTCAAAGCCCGTGGTGGGCCAGTGATGGCGGCCAAGGCCGGAGCCGCTGCCGGCGGGGAGGCCCACAGGGGAGTCCCATCTCCACAGCGGAAGGAAGCGGGGCCGTGGGTAAGCCTGATGCTCTCCCCGGGGTCCGGTGCAGAGGAGGAGGCGGGCGGGTCTTCGCTCTGGTGCCGCCTGACGCCCAGGGTCTCGGACCGCAGGCGGCCCCTCATCCCCGAGGGAGATGCTGAGATGGAGACGGTGTCCCAGGGCCCCCCTGAGTGCAGGAGGGGGTGGTGCCTCCCCTCGGGGCAGCCCCCGCACCCCGGATGCCACCCCACCCCGTTCTCCCTGCAGCCTCCGCCCGGGGGACTTGGCTGGTCACAGCATCGCTGGAGACAATGATTTTGTTAAGCAGCTTCTAAGCCCATCTGTGGCTGACTCGAGGGGCGCCCCCCACCCCCTACATTCCGGGGAAGGTTCTGTGTTTCGAATGCAACCTCTCCCCCACCCCGCTCCACTTGGGGCTGGTTTTTGCCGCCGGGCAAATTGCATGCACGTGGCCCCTGCCCACTGAGTGCCGTTTGGGAGACCTGTCAGGGGCGGCCCGGGGAAGACGGGAGTTTTATTTGAAAAGGAAGCTCCGCAAACAGACGGAGAGGGAGGGGAGCCCGGACCACAGCCCGCGGAGTGGCCCTGGCTAGAGCGTGGTCAGATGGCGGTTTCACCACGTTTCATTGGGGGCCGTGGCAGCGCGGGGGCGAAACCAAGTTGACAACCACACGGGGAGGGGAGGCCCCGAGCGCTGCCATGAGGGCAGCTGCGGGAAGCAGGGGGCTTCGGGAGCAGGTGGAGACGGGAGAGGCCGGGGCGGCAGGAGTGACTTCCTGCAGGACAGACGACCACCTGCCCCCCGGGAGGCAGGTGTCCGTGGCCGTCAGGCAGAGGGCACAGCTGGCTCTCTGGCTCTGCCTGAGACACCCGGATGGACCCCTAGGAAAGCACCAGAAAGGTCCGTTATTTTAAAAAAAATATATTTGTTTACTGATTTCAGAGGGGAAGAGAGAGGGAGAGAGAGAGAGGAACATCAATGATGAGAGCGAATCACTGACTGGCTGCCTCCCGCATGCCCCCTACTGGGGATGGAGCCCACAACCTGGGCCTGTGCCCTGACTGGGAATTGATCGTGACCTGCTGGTTCATAGGTCGATGCTCCTGGCCCACCGGGCCTCTCATTGCTCTCTTATCAACAAGGTAAAGCACGCCACCATCCATCCATCCATCCATCCCCCCATCCTCCAGCCCTGTACCCCTCATACCACAGTCCAGGTCCAGGTCCCACAGGAGGCACCAAGTCCTCCCGGACAGTCAGAGACGGCCCCTCTGCCCCCCCCTCCCCTCCCCCGCTCTGCCATGCCTGAGACCATGGACCAGAGTTCAGAACCCCCGGATCCTGGGGCCCCAGTGGCCTCCGGCTGCAGAGCCCCCACCCTCTCAAACGTCTGTTTTCTTGTCTACAAAATGGGCATGATAGCCCGGCTGGCGTGTCTCACAAGTTGAGCATTGATCTATGAACCAGGAGGTCGGGGCACATGCCAGGTGGGGGCTTGATCCCTAACAGAGGGCATGCAGGAGGCAGCCGATGCACGATTCTCTCTTATCACTGATGTTTCCATCTCTCTCTCCCTCTCCCTTCCTCTCTGAAGTCCATAATAAACATTAGAATAAACACAACACACACACACACAACATGAGCGTGATGGCAGTGTGCCTCTCCCCGAGGCTGGAGGAAGAGCGTGGGGGGTGGTGTGCCTAGAACACGCCCACTCCAGTGGCATCGTCCGGTTTCCTGGGACCGTGGGTCCCTGGGCTCTCTGGGCCCCGGTCTTGTTTGGGCCACAGGGAGGAGGGTGACGGTCGCCTCACCGGACTGTGTCGCCGTGGCACGCGGTGCCCCTTACGTCTCGTAGGAAGACCCAGAAGAGGCTCCTGCCCCGTGTTCCCACCCCTTGTACAGGGCCGTGGTCGGCAAACTCATCGGTCCACAGAGCCAAACATCAACAGGGCAACAACTGACATGTCTCCTGAGGGCCACGTGTTTTAAACGTAAACTCTGTAGGTAGGTGCCGTGTTATTAAGTTAATTAGGATCCTCCTAAGCCGGCCTTTGCTAAAAGCTCAAGGGGCCAAAGAGCCGCCTCGAGAGCCGCGGTTTGCCGACCACGGATCTGGGCAGACGGCGTGGGCCCTTTTGATCCAGGAGATGCTGTGAAAAATGACTCTTGCGTCCCTTCCCCCATTCCCGCGGCGGGCCTAGGTCACCCATCGCGATTTTAGATTTGTTTAAAAAAATTCTCGCCATCCCCTCCTGATGGATGATCCCCGCACGACGATTGTGGATGGGCTGCGCGTGGCGGGGGCCCGGGGCCCGGCTCTCTCGGGGGGAGGGACGTGTTCATTAACTCCCGGCATGTGGTCAGGGCTGTCCCCATGGCGGGTTCTCGATGGGCCGGCACTGCTCATCAGTCCCGCGGGAATGGCGGCACGATGGCTCCCGGCCCCCCGCGCGCCAGGCTAAGTGGATCGCAGCCCGTACAGATGCGTGAGCCCGTCTGCCCTCGCCCGGCGACAAAATCCATCAACTTCACTGAAACCCCGACGCCTGGTGGCACCCATCCAGATGAGTGCTGGGCACCCAGGCGGCAGTGGTTTTTAATCTGGTAAGTGCGGGGGCTTCCCTTCGGGGGGGAGGGGGTGCCGGCCCAGGACAGTGGTGCCCACAGACGGGAACTGGGGGGTCAAGGGTATTGCACAGCCCGGTTCCGGACCCCGGGTGCTCAGGGCCCGCTTGGTGAGTGACCGTCCATGGCAGCTGCCTCTGCTGTCTCGGGAGGGGTCAGAGTTGAAATACAGGCCGGCTGTCTTAGCGGGCACCCTGCCTGTCCCTCCCAGCTTCCCAGACAAGGAGCGGGTCTGCAAGCTGGAGGAACCCCCACAGGACCCCTCCCACCGCCACCACTCAGCCGTGCAGGGGGTGATGGCGGGGTTGGCGTACGTGTCATTCACCTCCGATCAGACAAGGCCGGTCCGGCAGGGGAGCGGCCCGTGGCTCACGGCGGCGGCCGCCGGGGCAGCCAGGGACGGGGGGGAGGCACACGCCTCTTGCACAAGCACGGTCTCCAAGAACAACCAACGCCAAGGCCTCTGTGTCAGGCTGTGCAGACGCCATGCCCGCTGGGGATTGCACCAGCCCTAGCCGAGGTGCGCTCTGCATCTGGTCAAATCCGCCTGGGCCCGGGACACGTGGACCG